TTACGTTGTACGTTAGTACGAGTAACGATTAGTAATAGTATATATCTAATGTAACTTAGTATTGTGTTGTGTGTAGTGTTGTGTGTGTGTGTGTGTAGTCGGTGTGTGTGTGTGTGTGTGTGTGTGTGTGTGTGTGTGTGTGTGTGTGTGTGTGTGTGTGTGTGTGTGTGTGTGTGTGTGTGTGTGTGTGTGTGTGTGTGTGTGTGTGTGTGTGTGTGTGTGTGTGTGTGTGTGTGTATGTGTGTGTGTGTGTGTGTGGTGGTTGCCTGCTTACTGGGGAGTTACAGCTGAGAACTAACGGCGGTAGATAGTTAGAGCAACAACGTCATCTGATCTGCCCGTCTCTGCGCAACGTCTCCTCTCTTCATGACAGGGTAAAGCGGAGTTCTCGTATCGCTCCCCTCTCTCTCGGCCGTGACTGTGCCAACAACGTCCCAGCGTCTACATGGCTGCTGGCGGAATCAACCGGGTGGCCATCGCCTCTACATGGCTTTTTCTGGTGTTATTACCGCATGTGATCGTGCAATCTACAGATGCACAGGACGCACAGATGCAACCTACAGATGTACAAGTGCTTGATGCGGAGGTGCGTTGCCCTGACGACGCATCCCTGATCAGTCCGTGCATGTGTGAGATAGCTCCCGATAACGCAACAGCGATAGTCGTCTACTGCACGAACACCGATGTCAGCGTGTTCGCGCGCCTAGCCACGCTAGCAGACCACGGGGCGCCGATACAGCAGCTGGTGATAGCAGACAGTAACATCGACGTTCTTCCCGCTAAAGCCTTCTCCAACCTCTCCATCTCCGAACTGGGCCTGGTTAATTGCAGCATAGCTAGACTTGACGACGATTCGCTGAGTGGACTAGAAGGAAGTCTGAGCACATTGAGCCTGAAGGCTAACCGCCTGACGTCAGTGCCTGCGTCTGCTATCGTCGGCTTCACAGGTCTAGTGTCACTCAATCTTAACGAGAATGCAATAGAAGCCGTAGAGGCCGAGGATTTCCGTACAAATGTAGGTCTCGGAGTTCTCTACCTGGATCGTAACAAGATCGCCAGCGTTCACGAGGAAGCCTTCCTTTCTCTCACCAACCTCATCTCGCTAGACATGGTGGCGAACAGACTGACAAGCATCAGCGCCACCTGGTTCACGGGCATGAAGGCTACTGTGGCACGCATACAGCTGCATGAGAATCGGATAGCTGCCATCCCCGCGGATGCATTCAGCGGACTGACCAATCTCCAACATCTCTCTCTGTATGACAACAAAATCGCTACCCTAGGAGAGAACGCGTTCGCGCAGCTCTATCTCATAGAATTACTGCGGCTAGAAAACAACCTCATAGAGTGGCTACCGGCGGACATGTTCCATGACATGGGACAACTCGCGACCATAGACCTAGAAAACAACAAGATCAGACAGCTGCCGGCTGCGATATTCTCCAATCAAACCCAGGTATGCAGTTCGTGTTGTACGCACACCGCCATGTTCCTGGGCCGTTTGTTAGGTGAAGGTTACCTTGGTTACCGTAATTCTAGTCTACAAAAGCTTGTATATAGGATGGAATTTATAGTTATAGAGATCACACGTCGTTGCAAAGACCACCTGTCTATAGGGTGAGGTTTATAGTTATAAGGACCACTATCTATCGTTCTATATGTGCTGACTACAGGTAAGCGAGGTGTTCCTGGAAGACAACCAGATATCGGACATCGGCGAGGGAGCGTTCAGTGGACTGGTGAGCGCCGAGTATATGCAGCTACAGGCAAACAATCTCAGTTCCCTCCCCGCCGAGCTGTTCACGAACATGCGCTCGCTCACCTACCTCCACCTGGCGGAGAACAGCGGACTACGTCTTCAGGCAGCCATGTTCTCGGGTTTAAGCAATCTGCGCTCCTTGAACCTGTATGACGCAGGCATCACCGAGGTGCCATCAGGCACGTTTGCAGAGCTGGTCAGTCTGCACAGTTTGTACCTACAGAACAACAACATTACAACCCTGGAGGCTGACTCCTTTAAGGGCGCGACCAACCTAGAAGTGCTACAGCTGCACGACAACCAGCGGATGGACAGAATTCCTCGCCATAGCTTCGCCGGTCTCGCTAATCTGAAGAGATTGCAGCTACAGAACAACCAGGTGAGGTCAAATGTTTGCTGCCGATACTAGATTGGTTACAAAGCCTATTATGTACACAACACAAGATACATACGATCAATCAGAAACCTATCCTGGTTTCGCAGTGGCCTCGAGGACACGCACGCACGCACGCACGCACGCACGCACGCACGCACGTGTACACACACGATAGCACACACACACGTGCGCGCGCACACACACACACACACACACACACACACACAACACGCACACACACACTCGCACACACACACCCACACACACACCACACACATACAGCACAACACACACACACCACACCACACACACACACGCCATGCGCACACACACACACACACAACACTGACACACACACCACACACATCACACACACATCACACACTCTACATCACATTGTGCACACAGGATCACACAACACACATTAACGCACGCACGCACTCACGCACGCACGGCACAACACACGCACTACTCAACGCTCTTGGCGCGTTGCCCCGCCCTAGTTCTAAACAACAATCCAGTATGGGTTTGGCCTTGCTTACGATATAATAAAAGGAAATAATACATCTATGAGCTAGAGTAAGGTGGCGTAAGAATATAAGGTCAGCTGATCTTACAAGGATGTTAATAATATACTGCCCTCTGCGCCACATGGGAAATCCGATAGAAAGAAATATTGCAGTTATACTACAGAAGTTGCGTTGTTCTGCTGTTTCTGTAGATAGGTGAGCTGGAGCCAGGCGGTTTTAGACGATGCCGAGAGGAGTCTGGAGTTTCTCCAGCTGTCTAACAAACAGGCTGGATGAAGCGTGTTCGATTCTCTCTCAAGCTGCCATGAACTTAAACATCTGGATCTCAGCCAGAATCGCATGACGGTAACGTCTATTACATATAACATGGGCGTTTATAATTAGCTATAGTACTCAGACGTGGACGAAGTTCAGCTAGGTAACCTGTGTCCTTTCACTCAATGAAACAAAAGCAAATAGTCAATATCCAAATATAGCACTGTGTTATCAAGCGCCGATAAATTATATTTAGTTATTATTAGTATGTGTGCTTTTGATCATCGAGTGTATGTGTGCAGGTGGTGCCATCTAGTTCCACGCAAAATATGAAACAGTTGAAGTATCTGATGTTGGGTGAGAATCAGCTAGAGGTCGTGTGCCCGAGCGGATTGGCTGGTCCCCAGGACATGAGCAGCGTATACTTGGATGGGAACAACCTCAGATATCTGACCAGTAACATCCTCCCAGCGGGGACAAAGGCTCCAACGACGCTGTCACTACAAGGTAGAGAAATACATGAGAGAGAGAGAGAGAGAGAGAGAGAGAGAGAAGAGAGAGACGAGAGAGAGAGAGAGAGAGAGCGAAAGACGAGAGAGAGAGAGAGAGAGAGAGAGAGAGAGAGAGAGAGATAGAGAGAGCAAAAGTGTGTACGCGTATGTATAAACTGTGATCTATGCCAGAATTCTCATCACAGATAATCCCATCCACTGTGACTGCCATCTTGCCTGGATCACGTCCCGTGCAGAGGTCTCTACCATAAACGGAGCCTGTGTCACGCCCGCCCCACTAGAGGGCGTTAGTCTCCACGAGCTGCACGATGGCAACCTCAGCTGCAGCGCCACCCAAATGCCAATAGATGCGCGCTGCGACTACGGGAGTGAGGCGCGGGACGTAGCCGTGAGACCTGCGTCGATCTCTTCTACCTCCGTCACCCTTAGCTGGCAGGTTGCCAGCGGCGTTCAGCCAGACTCTTTCGTTGTCGGTTACTTCATTGACCCAGTCGACCTGAGGCCTGTCACCGTGTCACGTGACAACCCTGCGCAGAGAGCGAAACGGGCCTCACACGCGAGTCACCGGCGACCTGAGAAGACGACGTTGGCGCAAGAGTTTAGAGTAGAGGATACGTTAGGGTTGGCTGCTAGAACGTACACGTTTGCGAGCCTCGCGGACGACACGGGCTACCGGACGTGCGTCATCATGCAGATTGCGTCATCCCCCGACCAGCAAGCATGCGTCGCCGTGCAGACGGCGTCGGCTTCGTACTCGACGCCCCCAGTACCGACCGTAACCACGGCAACACCGGACGGGGAGAGCGCACGCTACGCAGGCTGGGTGCTAGCTATCGCTATCATCGCGTCTGTGGTCATCACGGCAACGGTTTTCTCGCTTCTCTTCATTGGCTATCTGAAGAGAAACTTAGGATCGGATCAGCAGGAAAAGGATTATGAAGAATATTTCCATCATGACGTCACTCATATGTGATAATAATCAGCATTGTATTGAATATCGCTCTCATTATGACTTCATTTAAATGTTATAATAAGCGGTACGGTATTGTGTTAAATCTGTAATTATGACATCGCCAAGATGTGATAATACGTAAACGGTGTTATGCTTTATAGTTATTACCCATGTAATAGAAGACTTGTAATATATAACGAAGAAATCCCGACTACATAAATAATCGTAAAACAGAAAACAGTAGGCCTAAATTAATTTTGCACCTATACATATAATTATTCGTGTAACTAAATGTTCAGGATGCGTTTTTCATATAAAGAACTTTGGTGTACATCAATATAGACCCACTGTTGTTGTTAAAATTAAAATATAGACTTGGAAGACTTGCCGAGGAAAGGCATTCCTTTGGCGTCGTAAACTGAAGAAATTTTGCATGTTTGTGACTCGTCGATTTTTAGCAGTTAGAATACGCCAAATGTTGTTAAGGATTCTGTTAATATAAATTATTAAGAATCACAATCGTTTGTATTGAACTTCAAATGTTAACTCGAACTTCACCTACAGTTATGTACTGACGAAGAGCAAGGTCTGGCCAGAAACAGGTGTACTTCACAAGCAGATTCCAATATTCACTTGGTAGGCAACGTCGGCATTGGTAGCAATGAAATACCACGACACTATCTGTAGTGTCTGAAATCCACGTTCAGTAGGCCTACACATTGGCTTGCAGTCAAACCCAGCCAGACAGTCTCTTCAATTTTCACAATATTTGCAAATTTTATGTCATGTACACACGTATAATAAAATAATTCACGTAAATCATTTATTATACTACCACCAAAGACCGGCACCATACACACAATAATAATAACAATATAATGCAGATACAATAACACATAACAATAATACAATTACAATACAATACAATACAATACAAATACAATACAATACACATAACAATAATACAATAACACATTCGCTGCCATTGCCACGTTAAAATTACGTGTTACGAACGGCGCCGACCAACCGCACGTTACTAGCTGCAGGTGACCAACTGACTGACAACAACAGTAAAGTCACAGATATCTGCAGGCCCGTAGCCAGCTTCATATTGGGGGGGGGGGTTCGTTTTCGAAATGTTTGCCAATTTGTGGAGCGGCGCGACAGCTGACCGAGAGGAAGGGGAAGTGTGGGAAGGACACGATGGAGATTTTGCATTATTAGCACTAAAATTGATTTTTTTTTGCTGAGGGGGAGGGCGGAGCTGGCGGGGGGGGGCGTTTTGATTTTGCGAAACCCCCCGAACACTCCCCTGGCTACGGGACTGTAAATTGAGGCACCTGAGTGTAAAAATAAAGATGAGTAATTGCAAATCGCTCTATAATGATATTTTTATTTACGGATTGTTGCTATAGGTAGATTGCACGAAATCTGCCAGTTGGTATTAACTGTCATTGTGATAGAAACAATGAATAAAACACATTTCAAGAAGGCTAATGGTCCAGTGCATATATATGTGGGGCAGGTCGGTTTTCGAGCCGCGGGAATTGACCATGGAAACTTATTTTAACCGCGGTTAAAATATGTGGAACAAGGCCTCTGGTTGGGTAAAAAGAGCCACAATTTAACCGCGGTTAAATTATTTCTCCAGCGGTAAAAATTATTATTTCTGAGTACGATAGCCAACCATGTAAACATACAATTGTTTTCACGCGGACAACGTAATGGAGGCGAATGTTTACAAACAAGTCTTTATTTCATGTGCTTTGCATACACATGTCATCAAGAGCGTATTAAGACCTTCTTAATACGCTCTTGATATCATGTTTGAACACTCCACTGAATGACTGTTTCTTTGATAATAAGTGTCGGATGAGAAGTCTGTGTATCTTACTCATGCATAACCGTCGGCGCCACCACGTATCTAAATTGTAATACTAGTGTAGTGCATGCGGTAAATACTTCCTGACCGGAAAGAAAATTCCCTCACCATCGGTGTCTATAGTTTTTTTAAACCATTAAAATGTGATACATATCACCAAATTTGTCATTATTAGCTCCTGATATCACGCGTGCTGATGCTCTTTCCGTGTTAACGTTACTGCTACATTTGATGGCAGAACACGACGGACCGGCGCCTATATCGTAGCAAGCAATTAATTTTATTAATTAATTTAACTACCGTCTTTGGTAAAGTATAGTATATCAACGTGAGCTTGCAAGCTCGTCACCGGTAGAGCAATAATAGAAAAATAATTATAAAATAGTGGCACGTGGCAACACTAGGGGCAGCTAAAGATCCGAGTGTAGCAACACAGTGGCACAGTGGGCCAGTGGGCCCCTACCAGTGACGCTGTTGAGCCATTGGATGTTTTGCAATTCTCTAAATGTATAAGATCTTTGCAACCACCACTATACATGCGTCATTACATGTATGACATCACAGAGGATATTGCGGGCGGTATAACTGTATCCTCTGTATACAGTAAGACAGTATGCTAATATATCACAGCAGTTATAAGTACCACACAGTCTTGACACAGTTCATTCAGGTGCTAAGGGCAGCCATGCTGCATGAAACCAGAGAGACATCAGGGAGACATGATATAAGATTGCGTGGCACAGCTTTGCTGTTAATGCGCTGTTAATAAGCGCTGCGCGTGGATGAGACGCGCAGTTCCGCGAGATATGCGCACGCGACCGCGGGGATGTTCAAGTATGAAGCGCTGTCCGCAGTGGAGACGTGTGCCAAAATTATTCGCGGGGCTTATTCTGATTACGGAGATGCGAAAATGCAACAGAAGGACGTAGCGCATTGCACTAAACAGCGTGCTATTTTCGTTTTTGTGCCAAACTCTATCGTAGGAAACTGTTCTAGCCTAGCAGAATGCCCTAGTTCTTGAGATCGGCGATTCCGTACCTCAATGGGTGCGGCGTACGCTGTGATTGGAAGACACAAAGTGTCAATCCTCGTCGCACCTCGGCATCATGGCCGCATCACGTCCAGAGGCAAGTTCAACAGCGCGAACGCAGCGCCATTTGAACGACACCGAGCCACGTCCGTTAATCTGTGACCGAGCTATCCACCGAGCGCTCGCTCTATCCAAGATAGCGGCTCACTCAGCAGATTTAATCGCGAGATTTTAATGTCTTCGAACAAGTACTGTTAAACGAATTAGCAGACGAAATTTATATGAATTAAATTCAGGAGTGAATGAAAAATGAAAGTGTCAATGACACTGTAGCTCACCACAAAAAAGGACACAAATGAGTGAGTAAGAAGAAGTCAGTTTTAATTGAGCAACCATCGATGTACATTATAGAAACGATTGCCATCTGTATATCGCAATAATAATTTAAAAACCAAAATGAATCACAATTTGTGACCGTAGATGGCGCTATACCCGCTTTGTAGCGATGGCGCTTGAAATAAATAGGTTATGCTGCATTCTGACATGTTTTGTAAATCTTTACTCTAATATAGACGTTTTATCGGCAGAGTGGAGAGGAAATACCAATTTTGCATTAAAGATATTGTCAATGAAATCTTGTAAAACGAACCAGACGAGTGTGACACCACAGACTGTTTGTGTTTATATAATATGCTATATAATTGCCAAACCCTACCTAATTTGCATAATTTGTTTTTTTAAATATCAAAACCCCTAGCCCTTATTAATTCACATACCAAAAATGAGCAAAATCTGTTGAACCTGAACTGACTAATGGCAATTCCAATTTTTGACAAAAAATTGCCGTGGCTCGAAAGTACGTCGACTGGCGTGCTTCAAAATAGGACGTTCCATATGGGAGCATAGCAGTAACAACTACACCCAATTTCAAACATGTGGGTCAAACGGTTCCTGAGTTATCGTTGACCAAAACCAAATGTTGACGGACGGACGGACGGACGGACGTACGACGGACGACGACCCATGGCAATAGCTCAACTTGACGATGTCAAGGTGAGCTAAAAATGAAATTAAGTTGAAACAGATTGAAATTGAGGTCAGAAGTGTTAGATTCGCATTCGCCAGATTGCCCGTCGCCATCTTGAAAACAACTCGGAGCCTCGGGAGCCTGATCGCGCGTGCTTGGGAAATGTCGATGGGTCGACGGAGTTCACTTTCTATATACTCGCTCCGATGAAGGAAAGGGCATATCAATTTCATCTGCTAATTCGTTTAACAGTACTTGTTCGAAGACGCGATTAAAATCTGCTGAGGAAGCTGCCATCTAGGATAAAGCGAGTGCTCGGTGTCGTTCAAGTGGCGCTGCGCTCGACTGCTGCGAGCGTTCGCGCTGTTGAACACGCCTCTGGTGGCTTTTACCTGCGCCAGTGAAAGGCAGCTACTGAGCTAGCTTGCATGCAGCTTTTTTTGTTTTTCATAAATCTTCATTTTCAAAAATACTTTGCCAGTTTCCCCACCTGTCTACGTGAGTAACTCGAGCACGCACATAGCGTGCAGGATTATAAACCGTAAACCCCCAGTCTATCCTGCACACGCACGCACGCACGCACACACACATATTCTATAGTATATGTGCAGGACAGTGTCAGTTTGAAATCGGCCGCAAGTAGTCACAGGAGAATAAAAAGTTATCAGTACAGTTACAGTTTGTAAGGAGAAGTTAAAAGTGCTGTGAATAACGGTGTCTTCAGAATAATGGGGCAGATTCGCCCAGGTGTGTTGACAGCAGTAAACCAAACAATATTCATGACCTTGCTCAACCAACAAAAGCTTCACTTACACTTACCTACACAGGTGAAACTGGTGCAAACCACAACAAAATAGTGCATGTAAGACTCATGGCAACCAAATAAACATTCGAATACACTGCGACTACTACAAATTGGGACAGTGGTGGGCTCGTGGGCAGCACATGTGACTTCACACTAAAAGGTCTGGGGTTTAAGTTCCACTGTGGTCACCGCTGTCGTGCCCTTGAGCAAGACATATCTTTGCCCCAATTTGCTTCACTCTACACTTGCTGTAGAAATGCTTATATCTTGGTATCGTAAGGTTAACCTCACCCAAACATCAGCGATTAGCTTTACTGGATAAAGCCTGTGGATGAAAGTAAAGCAACACAGTTGATAATGGCCCATCCTCATGATGGGAACCATGGACTTAAAATGATGACAACTAAATTTGGCTAGATCATCATGACCTTGGTTTGTTAGTTGTACTATAAAAATATAATGGACGGTCCCATAACAGAAGATCTGAGCTTATGCAAGACACGCACTGCATGCCTGCATTGTGCTCAAATAAATAGCCTCACTTCCAAAACCAGCTTGTCGTGCTGTTGATCAACGATATTACAATAGCAGCTAATTAGGTCAGAAGTATATATTCCATAGTCATTCGAGATTATACTTTACTTTGTCGAAAACTTGCCAGTGAGAGGCACACACACAGTTACTCTATAATAAATACTAGCCATTACGAATTATTGTACTCATATTCCATTCAATCAAACAATTCTTACAATTTTTCCCATATTAATATGTATATATTCCATAACCGCAGAGTTTGCCCAGAGATAATACTGAATCATGTATGGTCCATCCTTACAGTTTACACACTGAAATTACATAACAAGAAAATAATGTATCTAAAAAAACAAAGGTATCCGAAACGTCACGCAAAATGCATTGACGTTAATTCGGTTAATTCCCCGCAGCGTGAGGGGAACATCATCACACATCGCTTCCATGAAACCCGTCAGATCTCAGGTATTTGACAAGGCTCAGGCGATGCCCGTGCAGAGTGAACCTCGACCAGAAAAGCAGTTGTAGTACGGCGCATCCCATCGGAACATAGACTAGAAGTGTGAAGCATCCGTCCTGGTACTGGCTGCGTGACGCGGCATCCATAGATTGCAGGTCTTTCGTGACAAACGGAGTTTCGCTCGCTGAACGAAACACATCGTGGCCTGCCCAGCAAACGAAATGAAATCGTAATGTTATAAGGATACGCAAGTGTAGAAAATAATGTATTATATTATATGATACAGAAAATGGAATATGCTAAAAATGCATGATTACAGTTTGATGATTATATTGAGACCAATGAGGAAAATCAAGTCCTATAGACTGATAGATGCAAAGAATATGAATAAGCAAAGTTAAATGTCTGCGACATCTAGACTTGCGTAAGATAGTTTTTAGCTAAAATATATGTCATGTAATCTTGTATTCGACAGCTTGATTTCAAATATATAGTAAATATGTCCAGATTACTTGCAATCACTACCTACATGATTAAAACTGAATTTCCTGTTGAGCTACCCTGAAACCCTTAATCCAAGGACTCCCATATTTTGACATCATAACCTTAAACATTTCAAAATTTCAAACATGTCATCAACGACATTCATTCTTGAATTCCAAAGATGAAGCATTGATGAATGCAGTGTTAAACTGGGACCAAGAATAGATAGATTCTAGGGATATGTTCTCAACCATATCTATATAGCTAATTTTCCTCTACGGGAGAACTACTGGTAGTCTGCTACTTGTACCTGTCTGCAAGACAAGCAGCCACGTCCCAATGAGTGGAGCGAGTGTCTGCCCTGGCTTGGATAGTAGTGCTGAGGTACCAAACACCAGGGCAGAAACAGGTTGCTGGCGCTTGTGTATCACCATATCTTCATCGACTAGGTCCGTGATGACCAAGTTGAGCAAATTGCATGTTCCCTCCGTGAAGATGCGATTGCTATAATGTAATAATGATTATATCATTACAGACAAAATTTAAAACTCCCATAGATTTCAGATACGTGATTTAAATAAGGCATCAATCTATTGATAATTCATGTCTATCAAGAAATGATATGGAATTTGAGAAACCTACCTTGCTATAAATAGGCATAGCAGCCAAATATGACTTCTTCCAACTAGGTAGATTACCAGACTTAGCATCAGCTTCACCAGGAAGAGAAAATGAACCACTCTGTATGCACCATACCTGTAACATCATCGTGGATTTATGAGCCAAAACCCATGAAGCAATTACATGTGGGAAGTAAGTTCTATGTATGTACGTGTGTGCGCACACACCCGACTCCAAACTGCATACCTGTTCACATGTACAGGGGCCGTTACAATGGCATTGTGAGTAACAAATATCACAACAAATAATTTATATAGCCTCCTACCCACAACATCACAAACCATTTATACCAACTGCATTTATGTAGCCACTGTAACAATACTTACACTTTACATAATGACAAGAAGTAAAGGTTGTTGATATGTGGCGCCACGAAGGACAGGCCTAGCAATAAAGAAGCTGTGAGCGGAGACACGGCATTTCCTAGCAAAATCTCCAAGAACAACGGAAAGAAGTTGCTGTTGAAGTGGCAGTGAAATACCTACAAACAAGATGTGATGAAAGCATTAAGGAAATATAGAGCACGAGGAATTTAGAGTACATGAAATTTATGCAATGTCATTGTCACAAATTGCAATTAAAACATTTTAGGAGCAGAACCATCCAATTCTCGCGCACCCTGCCCGCATTTCAATCAGTTAGCAATCAAAATGTAAAGGCTGATTTCATTTATACAACTGAATTATAAATGTTACCATTGAAGAGACAATACTATATGTGATAGAGCATATTAACATGATAAAAAAACACACAATGCAAAGTACTAACCTGAATGAGGTTCATCACAGCAAACACTAAAAAGTTCTTATGTGATGCTACCTGCCGCGCATAGGTTTTCAATTGATGAAACCGGGCGCTGCTTTTTCTATCACAATCCTCACTAAAAATTCAAAAATAAAATGTATTAGGGTTCATTCATAGTTACAGTAACTAGTTACTGCGTTTCCTTTACAATCATGTCATACGCTGTCGTGAAAAAGTCGTAGAATATTTTTGCGAGGACATTTGATAAATATATATTGACTCTGTCTCCACCCATCATGTATATGGCCCATATATTTCTATAGAACAAACATATATTAGGTGATACCTATATTTATTTATACACACCTGTTTACTACCTGTGATTTATGCTGGTCTCTACCAAGATGCAGCTGCTGCGACCGGTAATGACGCATTAGAACTGTCGTGCTAACAAGATAACCGACTATAGAAAACAACGTGAGCATGGTGCAATACACCTGAAAGGACATGAACCTCTCTCTGTTCCAGAAGGCGTATGAGAGAAAGACGGAGGTAGCCCCGATAGCGCTACATGCCGAGCTGTAGAAGTTCAGCCGTGCTCTTGCCGACAGAGATAGAGCAAGGTCAGCGAGAAGAGCAGAATGCTGCAGATCCATCACAGTCAGAAAGCCATCGTACAGGCACAGGCACACCACAAATTGCAATCCTGGATATGTCCATGCGAACCAGATCAGGAGAAACGATACTGACAAGAGGGGGCCGTTAAACCTCAGTGCACGAATCCTGTACAGCACGATGTCACGGAAACATGTCTCACTGCCCTTGCCAAGATACGCTCCATCGCTTAGCCAGCCCAATAAAGGGTCGTTGATCGAATTCCACAGAAGAAAAATGATTTCTCCAACCCAGAAGGAGAATTTATCAATTTTATATATGGATAAGAATGTCTCAACATGGTAGAGCAGGAAAACATTGTGGACGATGGTGGTGAACAATGCAATGCTGCCATAAGCCAAATCTACTTTTCTTGTAAACATGATCGCATGAGTAACTCGGTTTAGGCTCAAACGAAAAGCTGCTCTTTAAAAAAAAAACTTGTCATCAGCCAGCAACAAGGCATTGGAATCTCTCTTGATCCAGGTTCAATGCAGCCAACATGCCACATCCTATAAAATAAAACAAATGTCTGTTCAACAATCACATAAAAATAATGCTACGTCTAGTAATGAACTAGTGTTATTTTTAATTTCTAAAACTAGGGGCTGAAAATAGTGGTTTTTGCCCGCCGGTCCGGGACTTTTCAGCAATATTTTTGGAAGGTCCGATGAAAGATTTGAAAGGTCCGAATATGTAACGTTTGTTACTCTATCATTAGTCAGTACGGGTAATTTCGATAAGATTTTCGGTAAATTTGACTCTTATACTTGGTATGTTTCATTGTGAATATTAAATATGATACTAGATGTCGACAGTGACCAAAGATCGATGTAATCGTGTGCATGTGATAACTTAAGACTATTAATGCATGTAATACAGTATCTGCAGTAAAACAAAAATTTAACTTGAGTGTTTATTCACTGCCTCAGTGTTTGGGCTGTTGACAGTTGCGCTGACAGTTGACTGGGGCTGAGAGGGTCTATGTCCCCCAGGGTACTATCGGAGGGTACCCTGGGTACGGTTCGATATATCGGAACGTACCCTGGTACTATCTAATATGCCGGACAGTACCTCGCCTACTCCACTAACGAGTCTAGGGAGTCGCCTACGCCTACTCCCTAACCCTAACCATATCAGATAGTTACCAGGGTATGTTCCGATATATCGAACCGTACCCAGGGTACCCTCCGATAGTACCATGGGGGACATAGACCCTATGAGCTTGACTGGGTACACACTAACCTAGCACCATCTACCGGGGTACACATTTTCCTAGAAAGTAGTTGCTGCACCATCCATGTGGCTCTTTGCAAGACACTAATTTCACGAATGAGTATTTATTCCAATTACCCTAGGTTATTTTAAGCAACATGTGTGTTATATTACAGAAATCATTTGTTAAAAACTCAGTTCATGGATTTTTGCAATATCTTGGGTACACATATTGATTCTAGTATACATATTAGACCTAGACCTGCTCTATCTTTTGTGAATTTGTGCAATGGTGCATATATGGAAATTGGGGACTGTGCTGTGGAGGAATATATGAATAGCATTTACATGGAATTATTAAACAGTAGACAATACAGTAAGAAACAGTCTTTGGTAGTAAATACAATTTGTACAAATTGTTAATAATTAATGACCATGTGTTCCACATTGGAATCCAATGACATGTTAGTAACATTTATTAACAGTATCCATTAGTAACATTGTTAATACAATGTTACTAATAGATGTGCAGGGTTCTCCCCAGGATGAAATTGAAACAGGGGGAGGGGGAGGGAGGAGGGGACACTAGGGGCCTCCTCTCGTCTCCCCCCAATCTCTCTCCTTCCCTCTCTCTCTCTTTCTTCTCTCTTTCCTCCTCTCCTCTCCTTCTCTCTCTCTCCTCTCTTCTCTCTCTCGCTCTCTCTCTCCTCTAATCTATCTCCCTCTCTCTCCGTCTCTCTCTCTCTCTCCTTCTACACTACTCTCCTCTTCACTTTGCAGTTGCAAACCTAGCTTTACTACCCGAGACCAATTCCCCTACACCCAAGAGCAAGAAAGACACACACACAGGAAGACACGAAGAACTTTGGGCTTGCAGACAGCACTGATCTGAGGCTCGCCTGCAATAAGGCGTTCAGCCGATCAACATAGGATGGAAATGGCACCAACAGTATTCACACCTATTCAGTTCAGTGGAAGCTCCCATCTTGCATCATCAGACTTCCCCCTCCTCCCAATACACACGATTGGGAGTAAATTGCTACGATTCAAAATGTACACTGCCAAATATGTTTAATTTCTTATTCCCTATATCACCCAACTACCACAAACATTGTCCCTATTATTACTGATGTTCATTTTTTGTTGTTATTTTTGTCATTAACCTTGCTAGCAGCACTCGAAGATACCTATTCTAGTTAGACCAAGAGCTGATCACTGAGACCCTCTTAATGGTATTGTGACAATGGATTAAATGCAAACCATTACTCTCTTGTATAATAACGCCACACGCGAATGTTTTAAATTATCTGGTAGTATTGTCCACAAGCCACAATCTTTGTAATGATAGTTTAGCAACATGTCGTGAAACTGGTTGCCACCTTGCATGTGGTGTGCTGTCAATGGCATGGATGCAGCTCTGCACCAATAGTCTGACCATATTCCGGTTTTCCATTTTCTTCCATGCACAAATCCTCCAGGATTACAAAATGTTTTTTTATACTTCTATCAACATTTCTATGCTACAGCACATGTGTGCAGTACAGTGGCTGTACCTACCTGATGATCTGTTATAGTTAAGAATTTGAGCCAATCGTATTACGGATTGCATATTGCAACAGTTTTATTAGGGTAATAGCAATAGTCACTGATACATATATATTGTCGAACGGCCAAATCTTACATTCAATTCAAATTCAAACTTCAATTCAAATTCAAATTCAATATTCATTCAACTTCAATTCAAATTTATATTTAATCAACATTCAAAATTCAAAAGAACTTACTCATAGTATCATTATTGTGCCTTAGCATATAGCATGCACGCCCAACATCACCATTCTGCATGCCTGCCATTACTAATCCTGTTTCCCCGCATTGACACTCCAGCAACGGCGGCCATGCAGACATTCTCAGCCACCACACAGAAATTTGCTCCAATAAACATCCGTGGGTTGTACTTTACCGTACACAATTAATGCGTAAAATCGCCACCACCCCATCGACCGTTTTGGTCTGTATATATCACGAGATACCGACGTCGGTGTACATCAGTGTCACCCACTCCTGAGTTTTACGCGCGCAATCTGCCGCCTTGTTTAGTTCAGAGTCGTGGTTCTGCTTTTCCAGGGCAACTCTGGGTTTTTCTAGAGAAATGGAGTTTCAATTTGCTGCAGAATAATTTAGTTCCCCCAGCCGCCCTGCCCGAGCCAAGGCGAGTCAACCGGAACCAGACCCAGAACGTGAGCACTTGACGCACAAACACTAACTAAGCTGGTTCCCTCGACCAAGTTTTCCTTAGCAAAAGTACGTCTGGATCTTGTCAGAGCCGCAAACTATATACACAGCTGTACAAACCACCTGACTCTTATCCACCATGTCTCTCAAACTTCGGGATATATGTGTCACATAGTCAAACTCAGTTTTCAGTCAAACCGTGTGAGGGCTTAGTGTCCAACAAAACAGCATTTAACGTGTAATTTTTTTTATCGTTGTAACGTTAGTACATATTTATTTGACCATTGTAAGTCCATTAGACAAATCTTTTGAGGTAATGCGTATATTCCGTTTAAAAATACATTTGCAATTGCTTTCATTTCTATCATATGTAAACTCCCATTTTAGTTGCCCAAAATGCACATTTTTTATCGACAGAACACTGTTGATAGTCTTCATAGTATTAACACTCTTAAAGTAATACACAAAAACTAGTCACATCTATTTCGTTGTTTTTGTGACTGTTATTTATTTTATTTAAATACTATACAATAGTAACAATAAATAAAAGCAATATATTCATATACTGCCCGATAGGTGGCGCTGCATGTCGTTATTTTGAGCATCTCTGCACTTTTCTGGGTTTTTTGGCGTCGATCTGGTGTTTCCGCATTTTTCAAGCGCTAACGACTGCGTGTAAAGTTAGTCGACAGGTTTAACCTTGTTCCTGTCCTGCAGGTGCAATGCGTGGTGAACGCTACAAATACACGCGTCGATTCCTGATCGAACGGCAATTCTTCACGATCGACTTCCCGCGCTGGCAAACTTCTTATTCTGGTGGAATCAAACGGGCGGAGGTAATTTAAACGGTGGCGGGCAACGATTCAACCAGGGATTTTCCAAACGGGCAGCGGCGCCCCTTTGCGCAACGTCAGGAGAACCCTGTACTCATAATAGCCCGCCGTACATTCCTGCCAGTCCTGCGCCAACTTATGCGGGCTATAGTACATAGAGCTATAGTCCCCCTATTGTTACATGTACATCTAATCTGTGAAAGAGGACCACGCGCCGTCCTATAACGTCGTGTTTGCCCCTTTTCCTTCCTGACCTTTCTTAGCCATTGACCACAGTCACTGGCTGCTAAGCCTACTGTGACTACTAGACCAAAACTCTGCCCCAGAAGTCTTTATAAGTCTGCGTTATCCTAGCTAGTACCTTATAATAGCTATACAGCACTAGCCACGTCGACACCTATAGTAGGTAGTAGTAGTCAGTACTATCGTAGTACCACTAGTAGTAGCATAATACAATATGCACCAAATCACAGGAAGGCCCCCTACCCTACCGGTATCCCCCTAACCCTGCCCTAACACACCCTATCCTGTGTGTGGGTGACATTATTGTCATCTAGTAGTAGAGTACTAGTCACTAGTAGTAACGCAGAAATACACCAGTGTACACTCTAACCCTGCAGGCTTGTACCCTAATGTGTGACCTGACGTCAATATACAAGCCTGACATCCATCCATGGAAAATCTTGTACCTCTAACAAACACCTCTTCTAACCCTAGCAATGACGTTCTCTGAGCATGTACCATACCCTCTAGACCTTGATACACCGGTAACACTACACACCACAACAGCCACAGGCTCCGCGTGACCACCTTAACAATTCCCCCCCCCTACATTGTTTCATAGTTAAGAATCACCACTGTCGCCCGTACTGTCTACAACCCCCCGGTTTTCACGTAGACATTATCCGTTCCAACACAAAGTCACAGAGATACTCAGATTAAGTTGTGTATGCTCACCATCGACGCTCTATAATAGCGTGTAT